CTTGGCGCTGCTACACCTTAAAGTAATAAAATTAACATGTAGTTTACTGTAGCAGCGCCAAGTTTTTTTGCGTTTTTTAATAAATATTTTTATTTTTTAAATATTTTTTTAATTTTTTTATAATATATATAGTATACCTAATAATATATATAGTATATATAGTATAATATATGTAAAATATGATAAAATATAGTATATAATATAATTAATTATATATACGACAGCTTTATGTACAAGAGTTTTATAGAAGAGTTTTATAGAAATCACAGATGTCTATACTAGTACTAGATCGCTAACTTTAGGCTTTGACGTATGGAAAAACTGAGGCTGGCAGGATTTCCGGTTTCGGCCATGACACCCTACAACAAAATGGCCGTTCAACAACTGCTCAACAACTGCTCAACAACTGCTCAACAACTGCTCAACAACTGCTCAACAACTGCTCAACAACTGCTTAACAACTGCTCGGCATCTTTCAAGAATTTTTACAATGGCCGGTATTCATAGTCCGTTCATATATTCAAGATCTTCTTAAGCACAAACTTATATTCGCTCTCTTCGTCAGACACAATCTATGTGTGACGAAGAGAGCAAATATAAGTCCGTGCTTAAGACAATTTTGAATATAAGAACGGACTATGAATACCGCCAAATATTATCAATTTGTATCACCACGCCGGGTATCACATGTGCATACGCACGTACAGATATACACATACACACGTATTGTCGCCATTTTGTTGTAGGGAGTCATGGCCGAAACCGGAAATCCTGCCGGCCTCAGCTCTTTTGACGAAGTTAGCGATCTAGTACTAGTATAGACATCTGTGATCGAAATAGTGTACAAGTTTTTTCATAGTTCTTTAGTCCCACTTGGTGCCATTTCCTGATATCATATTTTTTTGTAAGTAGTATAGGATTATAGAAGTATATAGTTTTTTTTGAAAATTTTAATATATATGACAGGTTTTTTGAAAGGTTTAATATATACGACAATTTTTTTGAAAAGTAAAACAATACTGTTTTGTTTTAGTTGCGATATACCATACTGGAACGAGCACGCCTTTGTTCTCGACCGGTCAGATAGAGATAGCTGTTCGGACCCGGATCTCTCTATCTAACCAACAGTTTTGGTCACGTGTTCACAGCTACTATTAGTCGAGAGTAGACGAGATAGAAAGAGAAATCCGGTACCGAGTCACTGCCTTGTCTGACCGTTTTGTCGAATGGAGGGGATAGCCTGTGCTCGTTCCAGTATGGTATATAGTTCAATGGGGTGCCGTCACATACAGCCCGTAATCCGTAATCCGCACCGGAAGTCCGCAAAAGTTACTAGGTATTTCGTCCGTAACGTTACGTGTGTTTTTATCTCCTTGTGTCCCATGGAGCCGTAAATACAGACGTAACGGTAGTACTATTTTTTATTTAACAAATTATAATTGTTTATTTGTATTTTATTCATAAGAAAACTACAGAATATATTATGATTTTAACAAAAGTTTTAATTAAATCGTCAAATTTAGTTAAATAAATAAAATTAAAAAAAGCATTACTAGTAATAACTAGTAACTTGTAGTAACTTTTACGTAAATTTCATGGAATTACGGCTCCATGGGTCACAAGGAGATAAAAACACACGTAACGTTAAGCCTTGTGTCCACGATGCTAGAACTCAATCCGAGATCTCGGTCCGAGTCCTCGAACAATAATATTTATACTTGGCTGAATATAGTTAGCGTTGTAATCGAGTTACGATTCTTTACGATGATTTTCTGATCTATGTTATATTGCCAAGTTGGTTTATAGATATTATCAAGTGATGCACCGCTTGATTTCGAATGTTTTATTTTATTTAGATGGTCCAGATATTGTGATCTTAAATTATTAAATTTTTTTGGAATTTAGTTGTTAGTGGTTGTCCTGTTAATTCTTTGTACTGATTACAGATTATCTGTAAAACTTGATCTTGTTTCATACG